AGTTTCCAGAGCAAAATGCTGGGAATAAGGCACTTTGCCTTTGCCCCGTTACCTCGTGGCTGTCAGGCGGCATTGGCGAGAGCAGGCTGGGACGTGAACTCAGCTCTTCATTTTGGAGGAATGTGAGAGCAGCACCCTAGATCACCCCGCCGGCCGTTGCCCCCTGCCTCCTTCAGCCGTCACCATCGGATGAGAGGGGGAACAGAAGAACAGAGCAAACACTCAGCAATACTGCCTCAGTGCACTCTCTTCTAGTTTCCAGGAATTTGTAGTTCAGGGATTTTTCTGAGTCAAACAGGCTATTTTTGGCTAGACATGTAGGAAATCAGCACACAGGGCAACACACCCTGCTTCCTTCCTTCCCAGCCGCCGTCCTGCTGCAGCCTCACCCCGAGGCAGCCCTGCAGCTGTCCCCCAGCTCCTCAGCCTGGCCCTCCACCAGCCCAGAGGCTGCCCGCTCCCCGCTGTGCGGCCACGCTCCCCCGCCTCCCACGACCCTGCCAACACAGCGCGCGGGCTCGCGTGGCGGCGGGCGCGCCGCCAGGCAGCACGGGATGCCCTACGGCCCTTGAACGCGCTGACGGACTTACAGAACACATCTCTCCTCGGGTTTTCTTCCATTACTTAAAAGTAAAAACTGTTCCTAAGCTAAAGAAGCAATGCCCATGCTGCTTCTCTTCTGTTCTTCGCACTGCTTTTTAAAATAAAGTGGCTTAAGGCTTTCCTGGTGGCCAGCTGGGCTGCAAAAGACCTCAAGGAAGGAAGCCTAGATGATGTACGAGCTTGGATGATGTGTCAGGCCTGATGCACCGACAACAGGAAACATCAGCGTGCTTCAGCGCCAGGTCTCGTCCCCAGCTTGTGCTGCTTGCACAGATCACTCCCCTCCAAATACACATCATCGGGGGGGGGGAACGGGGGGGGGGGGGGGGATTAAAAAAAAAATCAAAAAAATCACTTTTTGAAGTTATTTTAATCTACAAACCATAGTGTGAAACTTCTACCCAACACACAGCACAAAATGTAATAGGTAAAACTAAGGGAACTACTATGCAACTAGGAAAACAGAAAGTATGTGGGGTTACGGCAAACAAGATAAACTGAGACTAAATCAGATGAAACAGTTTAAGTAAACTTGCCCTCTTTATTAGGAACTTTTTATTCTTTGAGACATTGGAGTCATCTTTGTATTGTAAGCAATTCAAGAATACAGGAGAAACATGTAATAGAAAAAAAAACCTTTTGAAAACAAGCTCTTTTTCTAATACACAGAGTCCTTTATTGCTACCAACAGGTACCAAGGGCCTTCCAAGCAGCCTAAATATAAGAGTAGAAACTAAGCATGAAGAAGTGATCTAGACTTAACAAGTAAGGACTTTATAAATTAAATACGCATTTGCGATTGAACTATTTTGCTGTTACTTAAACTATCAGGAGTGGAACGATGTTTTAACCCACACTTCTGCAACAAAAACAAAGCAAAACCCCAGGACCCCTATCCTTCCCTGCAGACGACATCAAATCTTTGTTTTTGTCACATGTACATGGGAAGTGTCAACTGTAGTACATAAAAAGTCATACAGACCCTTCTAGTAAGCGAAGTTCTCATTTTTAAATGCTTACCTCTAACAACTAAAACAGTGAAAAACGATAATTTCAGTCTTGTAAAGGAGAACTGCAATAGTGCCGCACAGCAAATAAAATTAGAAGCAACCGAAAACTTGAAAAAAAAGTAATGGAAACTGCTGCTTTTTATCCTCATTTTCATCACCAGTTCAACTAAGGTTTTCCCTAAATTTCTAGAATGAAGAAATCAGCCTAAAATGGCGTCTATGAGAAACAAGATTCTCAAAATATCAGGAGCAGAAAAATCATTGTGGATCAGTCTAATCTGTAAAAGGGAGTTTACTTATTTTATAAATAAAATGCTCTGAAGTCTTCTGATAAACACCATAAAAATACAATATTTTTCACTGGGATTTGAGTAAGCTGGATTTGGAATAAAGAAATTTAAAAGAAAAAAAAAATCTCTGTATTGAAAGGTTAATAATCAAAAGGCTCAGGACAGGAATGAAAATATCAAAAATAATACAATTTCTTCCCTTCAAGTGAGTAAAATGGAAAGAAAAGGAAGACAGGGCTTTGAAAAATCTCATGAAATAAACTTTCATGTGTAAAGGAAGATACTTAACTGAGCAATTCCTTTCCAGTCCTGTTTCAGATTAAGGAACTTGAAAAATAACCAACATCTTAAATCCCTATTAAAATCCATTTAGAAGCTTAAAGGTTTAAAGAAACTGATTTAAAAAATATTTTATTGCTTCTATGTTTCTATATACAGTACATACACAACTGGTGCAACTGGTAACAAGACGAGAATAGAAATGCCAACTCATTTATAGTTCAACTGAATGACATAGAGAAGCATAATGTCCCCAGTCTTCATCTTGGAACATGAGTAACTCCTCAGTTCCTCCCTTTCTCCTCCCTGTCTATTCCAGAGCCCAAAGAAATGAAATATTGGTTCTCATTCCAAATTAACTGGCAATTTCCCTCAAGTTCATGCCCTCAAAGTTAGTTCATCTGTTATTAAAAAATTAATCTAATTAATCTAAAAGGGAGATGTTCTACCAGAAGGTGATTAGACATCGTTGCTAATAGCAGTCCCATTCCCTTTCCCTCAATTATCAAAACATTAAAAAAAAATTTGTTCCTCTTTATCTGTTCCTGGTAGCTAAGAGCGATATAAAGTTGCTGTTGAAGAGCAGTGGTGAGCACAAGAAACATGCCGCCACAACACTTTCACACGTGATAAGGCTTTATGAGGAAAACCAAATGGTTAGTCCACAAATTAAGTAGCTTCCTTCAAAGTAAAAGTTTGAAGTCTTATTTTCATTAACATTATTTGGATAGATTTGTTTTCAGGATGAAAGCCTTATACTCTACCTATTTTAAAAAACACACCTGGAAAAGATGAAAGGTCATTTTGCATTGTGGTGGTTTACCTTCCCAGACCTGAATCGGTGTGGTCTCTTTTTAGCAGAGGATAACTTGCCATTAACATATTAAAGCAAGAAATAGTTACCTAAAGCTAGTGTATGGACAGGTACTATATGAGGCAGTAGTCAGAAGGAACTAGCAAACTGAACCTCCTTAATCCTCATTTGAAAAGCTAAGAATAAATGCTATTTCAGTGTATGCGACTCCTCCAGTCATTTTTAAACATTTTAAAATTGTTATACGTTTATAGATGGATGCTACTGACAACTTTTACATGCTAAAAGCAGTTACATTTGTTTTTAAAACCGTTCTCAGTTGTCCTTTAAAATTAACAAGACAAACCCCACTGTTCCTCTAGCTGGGAGCATTAGCTCTCCTGGGGCTCCAGCAATAAGAGCACAATCTTCCTAACATAGCAGCAAACCCGGCAAAGAGTAAACCATTTCAAATCGGAAGACATCTCAATTATTCCACTCTCCACAACCTACCAATTTGCCTTATTCATCTTCTCAGTTTGCTCACAAAGACTCATCTTTCGTATCCTCCTTAAGCACGATGAGCTGCTTCAGAAGCACTCCGCTACTGTTCCGACACATTTCTCAGTAAAGCCACTGGTAAAGACTACCTTTGGCCCGAGTGGGACCAGAAATAAGACAACATGGAACACTTCTCTGCTGTTTAATTTGGGGGCTGAATTTAATCAAAACTCTGTTTTCAAAGCACTACTAGCTAAAACTGTAGACAGGCTCAATCAAATTAGCAGCAGAAGACACCGCCCCAAGAGGCCCAAGAGCCACCGCTTTCACACCAGCAAAACCGCAAATATTTACCAAGCACCTGCACAAAGGGCAACCCTGTGTGCGTTTGGCTTTTGGGTGTGATTTTTTTCACCTTTTATATTGGCAGCAGCGAAGCTCATGACTAAATGATAAAACTGCCAAACACAGAAGGGGCATCACTGCATGGCCTTGGCGCTAGTGTGTGCCAGTTACTGGTACCCATGGCCAAGCATCGTCAAGTGCATTCAGGTCACTTGGCTTCTCCGTACAGACACAATGTATGAACGATGTCCACCAGTAATTACCAGAAGCCCACCTTTGCAGGAGCATAATGGAATAGCTTCATCTTACAGGGAAGGGGAATACTCCCATTAGTAAACGCTTCAAGCTTCAAGTAGGCAAGCCTGCAACTTGAACTTGCAGAAACTGCCTGAGACAGTGTCTTCACTGAAGTCATAATATACACATTTTTCCATTACAGATAAATCAAGAAGTAGACGGTGTATCAAAGCTCAGAAGAGATTCAGTCATACTGGAAATCAAACTAAAATACTGGCTATTTACATTATTTAGCAGCTATTTGTAAACACCAAGGGTGCCTAACTAGTGTGCTCTATTAAATTTCAGCCAATTCTTGATGACTATTAATATTACAGATATTTTGATTGTGCTTCTTTGATTGATATTAGTGATTTTGGTACACTCCCTTCATATTTCTAATTAGGACTTTGAAAATAGAGCAGACACTGTGCTGCTTTGACACACAACTGGAGGGGATGTCCCTCAAACTCTGGAACACTGAGAGAAAGACCGCTCCCAAAACCTTTCCCAGGTTTCACACACAGTTCTGAGCAGCAAGGCCCTGGCAACAGAATCAGTGTCATACGGATTAAATTAAGCAGACGGTGCAGACAACTAGTAAAGCTAATAACCCACATAATTTCTTATTGAATTCTGTCAATGTAATTTAAGGTGCTCTCTAATAGTCTCAGATATGAATGATAAGGTTGAAAGGAATCAGCCCCGCAGGAAGATATGGCCTGAACAGTCAACTCCTCTTTACCACCCTTCACAGCTACCCAGAGTTAAGGCCACCCCGCTTATACTCCATGCAAGTACAACAACCAGAGTTCTTCCATACCATCCAGCATAATTCCATAGCTCCAAAGAGCAACTTTACTTCGGCTACAGCAGAAGACAACATACGGATACCCACTGGTGCTAAGTTTGCAGAGGGCACACGTAAGATAAAAATGCATCTATCTGATTCTTAACAATGACTTCTTTTGGGTGCAAGTTATGTGGCAAGTAATGAGCCAGAGACATCTCCCAAGCATCCACAAAGTGCACAGCAATTCCTGAAAACATTTTCCTCATGACAGAATCAAGCTGAAAGGAGTACCAGTCACTGTTAAAGAGGCTCACTTCTGGCCCAAGCTCCTGAACATTAGCGGTTCTGATGATGATTAAAGTCTTGGGGCTGCGATCCAGCAGTTGAATAATTGATCTCCGAATGTTCCTCAGCCGCCGGATATACACTTCCACAGGGAAAGTGCTGAAGTGGGACCATATAGTTATGGCTATCACTGTGTTTCTCCCACCTACTATGCCATTCAGTTCGTTGGCAATGTAGTGCAGTTCACTGCTAAAGACTGTTGAAAAGCGAATGGGTGGCCCGTGACAGCGGAACTTCAGTAGGATATTGTGCTTCAGGTCCACAGACATGAAAGGGCCCACGTTCTTAGGACTCCCCAGGTTAAATTCCACTAGATCTGAAAACCCAAGAGCAAGCGTTAGTGAAAGATGGCATAAGAGATTAACGCTATCGACAAGATACTAGGACCACAGGGCAAAAGTAGCAGTAGATAAGGAAATCTGAACATAATTCTAAGAACTCTAAAATGAAACAGAAGATGAGCATCGTACATGTGCTAGCTGCATACTTCAGAGTGGAGTTTGTGGGCGCTGAAATTTGCAAGACAGCACACTTCAACTTCACAAGGCTGTCAATGCCTTTTCCAAGTTTCCCAGACAATTTTCTTCTCTCTCTCGTAAAAAAGAAATTTTCCAAATAGACTCACATTCAGTCGTTGCTGCCCTACAAATCCAGTGCTCACGGGAACCCTTCTGGCAACTTTAAGACTCCATTAAATTTAAAGATGACTTGAACATGTAGGCAATAAGCTCAAAGTCTGTGTTCCAACACAACTTCACTGCTTTAGGGGAAAGGGAGGAATATCTAATTGGCTACTGAAATTCTGTTATTTAAGTTAAAATAAGGGAAATATAAGAAAGTGTCCAAAACCAATCAACAGTAATGGAAGTCATTTGCTACTTCGTTCCAAAACGACTTGTGTGACTGTGATGCTGCAAGGCCTTATGCAGGCACCCTAACACCCTAGGTGACTTCTGCTGTGCCCCCGGGAGGCCACCTTAACTCACAGCAGCAGTCCTCATTAGTGAAACACTTTACAAGGACAACTTTGTAGATACCTTGTGGCCCCATTTCCAAGGCCTACATGTTTCCAGTGCCTGCTCAAACATTTGACTAACTAACTGCCTTTCTGCCAGCACTTCAGATGATGTTTTGTCTTTCCTCTTCCTTTGTTTTGTCACTGTCATTCACTATGATCAACTCTGTGTCTGAGATGTGAGAAAAAAAGCTTTGCAAAGGTCTTTAAGAACAAAACCAAATTAAAAAAAAAAATCACCTGGAACAAACGCTGTCAGATATTCAAACCACTGCCTTATTGTAGAGTCTCCAAATAAGTGGACTACTTTTCCTTGTAAGCACTTGGTTATATCATCTGACTTGTTGAAACGATGGATCCAGTGTGTTCTGGACCTCCACTGGTCTTCATAATAATAACCCGAAGGGGAAACTGTGGGATCTTCAGCTTTGTCCATACTGCTTGAATCTGGAAGAGAAGAATTCTTTGAAATTAACATACAACAAAACCAGCTTCCGTAATCTTCATGGACATATAGCCAGTGACGTATGAACATCTTCCCTGGTTAAAGCGGAAGAGTATGATGTACTGTGTAGATTAAAAAGCTTGACGCATCACAATTCTGCAAGCCCAAGGATTTCACCTCCTACTTCTACAGCAAAACCTGCAACTACCTGCGGAGTTGGTTGAACAATTATAGTTTAACTTGGCTTAAATTAAATGGTATCTCTGATGATACAAGTAAAAAATAGTAAGTACCTGACACTTTTCACGCTTAGACAGAAATGCTCAATGGTGGGTGATTGCAAAAGGTGCAGGAGCGCAGGCAGAACGATGGGGAGGGCACCTTCCCCTTCCCCTTGCAGCCGGGCGGGACCCCCCCGGCCCC